AATGATTTAAGACTTGAGTTAGGAAATAAATTATTGATTTTCATAAAAGTATCCGTTAGAATTGATAGGTTGTTTTCATGACTTGCCATCTCGGCTAAGTAAGCGAGTCGGGTGTTACACGAGCCATCGACCAGAAGAAGCAGATGTTGAGATGTTGAGAAAGTGAAGCTTAATCAGCCAAACTCATTTAAAAGTGATCCATTGTGGTTCTCATTGTTTAGCTTCCTAAACAAACATGTAAAAACATTTGCATAGCAATACGTAAAACATTTACTGGAGTAGAACACATAAGTAAAACGAACATACCAAAGCGAAAAAGAAGCTTTTGGAGCAAAGGATAAAAAGGTCTGAGACGGCGCACTGTTTCCTTTAGGAAAGCTGTAACGCTGTGATGTTCTATAGTCGGCAGGTGACAGGGAAACATAGAACGGCAAGTATTTTTAGATTTTAAATGACAAAACGGCTCGCAGTTTGGTAGTCATCCCAGACTAGCGTCGTCTTCATCTGGATATGTGAGACGAGCTTTTTCCGTGTCGGTTGCTCAATCGGAAAACTCCCGAAGATGGCGGACTTCGAATCTCAGATCTATCACGAGCGACAACGATTGCAATTTTGTCTCTTGCACTCCCTCAACAATCTATTTCAGGTGATCCATTTTCTAATCTTCAGTTTCCATCACTGCGAATCTCTCGATGAATGTATGAAATTGGTTGGTTCAATAAGCGACTGAGAGTTTTTTGGTATTGCTCTGGTTTGACTTAGGACAAGGACGCATTCACGAAGGAAAGCTTGAACTCAATCGCGGAGAAGCTCGTAGCCGATGATCCGAACAGAGAAACGTGGACACCTCTCTCTTTCCTCCTTAAGCCTCACCACAATACTCTTACCGGTAACTACGACGTAAACGTGATGATTGCAGCTCTTGAAGGGAAAGGCAAGAGAGTCGTTTGGCATGATAAGCGTACTGGAGCTTCTTCAATTGATCTTGATGCAGATGCTCTAATGGGTATCGTGTTGAATGTTCCGGTGAAGAGATATGGTGGACTTTGGAGAAGTAGGCATTGGGTTGTGATGAGAAAAATCAATGGAGTCTGGTATAACTTGGATAGTGATCTCGTTGTGCCGTATCTGTTTAAAGACGAAGACGAAGTTAAAGGGCTCTTGGATCAAAATCTGACTTCAGGTGGAGAGATTTTGCTAGTGAACAATGCTTAAAGAATCAATCAACGATGTGAGTTTCATTTTCTGACATCTCTCTGTATATGTGTGAAAATGTCTATAGTTCCTTGTAGTTTTAGTTCCAATATAGGATTGACCAGTTTCTTGAATGTTCGGTGAATTTTCTCAAATTGTGAGTTATCTAACTCTAATAATCTTTCTGTTTCAAAGTAAGATATCTTTGGGGATCAATGATTGGATTTTTGCGAGTGATGACCTATTTATTCATAGTGCTCATCATATTTCAAAGAATGCCTATCCTCTTTTCATGGAAGTCTATTTCTCATGTCTATGACTAGCGTTGCTCTACAACTCAATGGAGTAGTTCTTGTATTCCTTCTCTCCCTGTTTGTATTTTGAA